TACGTACGTACATACGTACGTACGTAGGTATGTACGTATGTATGTATGTATGTATGTATGCACATAGTGTCTGTCTGTCTGTCTGTCTCTGTCTGTCCCTGTTTGTCTGTCTCTGTCTGTCTGTCTGTCTGTCTGTCTGTCTGTTTGTCTGTCTGTCTGTCTGTCCGTTCGTCTGTCTATCGATTTGTCTGTGAAAGAGCCAAGCCTAAATCAGAGGAGCAAACAAGCCACAGCAGCAGTACACACAGTATTGACATCAGGAACTATACGCATAGTTGCAGCGCTGCCAACGGCAGCACAGCAACGGGACTTTCTAACAACGGAACAAATTGACTTCGACAGGCTCATCTCGTAGCAGCCGCAAGCTCAAGGCGGGCCACTCCGATAAGGTCCACCTCATCATCAGCTCGTGGTTCGCTCCTATGCAAAAGGTGAAATCTTTGAGGCTCTCCTTGGGCGCTGACGTTTTAGGTTTCTGTCAGCTACCAGGGATTCAAGGCTCAAGGGCTTAGGCTTCAAGCGTGGAGGCTTCCGGCTTTCAGACTTTAGGGCGCAAGGCTCTGCGAAGCGGGGGAAGCGCAATAACTAGTGTCTTCCTTGCTTGAGCGGGTCGAAGAACTCAACAGTCCTCAACCATCCTGTAAAGTCTTGGACCCGAACCCCAGAACCCAACAGCGCTCATGGCCTAACATTGCCCAAACAATTGCAATGCTCGGGGCTCCTTCGTGCAGATTCCCGAGAAGCTTTGACGAAGGCAGCGATGACAGCCCGTCCATGATCTTTTCGGACCTGGCTACAACTGCAGAAAATCTACAGCAGAAACCGCTTGCCCTGACTGGTGCAGGTTCTTGATGGCTGTGTTGGAGTGGCTAAGGGAGTATAGAAGCTAGCCGTGCTCGCCTGAGCATGCGCCTCTCTGCAAGTCGAGACCATTGGCGGTCAACCACTTGGCGCCAGAGGTTGAAGCAGACCTACAAACAGCTCTGATTCGACTTTCAACCTTCGGTTGCTGCAACCACTTGTGATACGATCCAGGTCTGCGTATGCAAGCACCCTAAGACAAACTGGTGAAGCTGCCATGCAGGGGGTCTTGTCTTCTTTGAGTGCAGCACCTCAGCGAGGTTCGCTTCCATTTTGAAGTGCAGGAACACCTCGCGGCAGGGCCAAATCAGCACAGATAGCTGCAGCACCGAAAGACAGAAGCTCCGTTTGCAAAAAAGATACGAAGAAGTGAAAGCCTTTCCAGCACACCAAAGCTTCACAGTGCTAAGCCTTCAAAAACCAGGCAATCTGCCTGCATGCGATCGGTACGTCGGCGTGCCCGTACCTTCGCTCGCCAGTCGAAAACTGCTGCCTGTGTCAGACAGCTTCGGGAAGCTTTCCGGCAGGCGGCACATGGACGGGGGTGGTCCGGTCAGTCGGAAGGAGTGAGCTCTTTCACAAAGCATTGCGGTGCCTGAAGAAGCTTGCGCTGCACGTCCCAATCGAGCAGCTTTTCTGCAATCCTCAGCTTGCTGTCGCGCAGACAGTGCAGGAATGACGCTGAGAATCGTTCAGCCGGCAACGAGGCGGCCTCTCTAGAAAACGACATGAGTCCAAGCGACGACGTGCCACGAGCTTTTCCCCTAGCAAAGGCCAGCAGTGCCCGGCGCCCATCCAGGAGGCTTGCCTCTGGCTGCGTGTCCATGAGCACTTGCTTCACGTTCTCCCAGGCCGTGGTTCCCATCTCAGCAGGCGGATTTCACATGCTCCCATCCCTCAAAGCAGTGCATCCCACAGCCTGGCGCTGAGCAGATACCTCCGTCCTCAGATCGCTGAGCTCCTGGGACGGCCATATGGAAAACGAATGATGCGCTTTCGGGCTGGTTTGGTGGCTTGACCCTTGGGACCTGAACACGAACGAAGCCCAACTTTCTGAGAGCTCACTCAACCATCATTTCTTCAACCATATTAGATGTTCAGTTGTTTAGAACACATTGATAGCTTTTTGCCCCCGTCCCGGAGTCCATTCGAGATGTGTTCCGACCGAAACTAGTTCGAGTTGTGGCCGACTCGAACTCAATTCGAGTGCTCGCGCACTGGCATTGAAGTTGAGTCGCAGATCGGGACACAAAAGCCGCGGGAGTAAGCACGGCGATAGTGGGGAAGACTCCCAGTCGAATTGAATTCGAGTCGCCCTACGAGGCCCTCAAGGCATCCTGAACTGTCCTGCTCAGCCTCAGAGAGCTGCTTCCGCAGCTGGCAGCGCAACTCCGGCGGCTCAGGAACCTACCATGTGCTGCTTAGGGTTTAGGGTCTCAGGTTCCGGCTTTACTGTAGGGCTTAGGGCTTAGGGTTTAGGGTGCCAAGGTTGTTCTTCGAAAGCTTGTGCCCTTCTTTCAGCGTTGCTGTGCGAGGGTGGATGGTTTAGGTTTGGGCTTCTGGGCGCCAGTACTTGCACGTCGTCGAAGCTGAACATCGGAAGCCCTTACGTTTTGCCATTTTGGTGCGAGCTTACGTCCTGATACTGGCACATGCACGGAGAGCGACAAAGAAACAGAGAAAGACACAGCTCAAGATCAGATGGCAATTGCAAACGGACACGGTGGCAGACGGGACCATAAAACCGTCGCCAGTAGTGCATGGACAGCGGCCGAAAACGCTGAATGGTTGTCGAGGTACTGTATGCAGGTTGCACTCGGATGAGTGATTAACAAACCCCGTATTGTCCTTCCAACTTCCGTTGTGGATGACTTTGCAAAAAAAGCCTCTATTGATGACGAAGAGGGCAGATGTTGGTCGCAAAGGGAAGCCATTGGCAATCCTCTGACCCCCTGACTTCGGAAGCTTGGGCTCTCCTTTGGCTCAGTATTTGCTTGAAGCCTCAGGTTCTGATTCATGCGTGCAACGAGAGCGGAACTTTAAGAGTACTCACCGCGCGGGGCGTCCATGCGATTCTAAGACACGCCGGGTGGGGGAGGGGCCTCCAATCTGCTCATGCGGCTCCTCGTGGCCGCACAAGGGCTGCTGCCATAGGCCAGGAGGTCCGTGAAGCAGAAATTCTCTCCCTCCTCGCAACTGAAACTCTGAGAACTCAGCCCCGATTACGAGGAACTCCACACAGAGCCAAAGCTGCATGACACGAGCAGGATTAGCCGGGGCTCGATGTGCCGAAGGTTGTGGCCGCCCTGATGGGCTTCGTCGTCGACTTTGTGGAGCTTGGTCAGCTCTGTGGCCTCCAGAGTCGTCCATCAAAAAAAAGCTGTTGCGATTAGGGCTTCGGGTTCGGGCGTTTTGGATGTTGTGGGGTTTTGGGGCAGGGTATCCGTGGGCATGGCCTGCTGAGTCAGCTCGTTGCTGAGCAGCAAGACCTCGGCAATTCAGACAGAGTGACCGTCGGACTGCTAACAGAAGCCAAGTGCGAAGGTCCCAAGTTCCTACGGTTGGAAATGCGACCGACTTTACGAGGCAAAACAAGGTGTCATGCACAACTCCTCATTGCCTCTGCCTAGATGCAAGAGTTGTGAGGCCTGGAAGCCTGCGTCAAATGCATTGCCACCAGTTTTCATTCCAGGTTCCCCTGCCTCCCGCTCCATCTCGTCGATGAGTTGTGATGCAGCGTCCCGTCGTATCTTCAGCTCTTTGAACCTGCTCGGGACCGCCACTCACAACCCTGTCTAGAGGCAGAAAGAAGAAAGGCCCGGGTTGAACCAAGCGTACGAGTTATCAGATATCAAACATTGAACATCATTGAACGTAAGATCGGGCACATGTCCATATGCAGAGAAGCTTCAACTGCCCTCATGCCCGAACAGATGACCTTCATGCCATTAAACCCCAAAGCCCTGACGATCCGTGAGGTTGAAACACCAACCCCTAGGCCTAGGCCCTGAAGCGGCTCAACCCCCCCCCCCGCCTCCGCTTCATTAAGAACCGCGCCGAAGGTTCTCGGCGGCAGTCCAACCCCAGGCGCTGCATCACGCTGCCTGGGTCCCCGACAGCTCTGGGCTGAGAGCCAGGGCTCCATGGGTTTTACAGTACCTGTACAGCATGTTAGCCAGTCTGTTCCTTGTCTGACATCCTTAGGGTGCTCTTTAACAACAACGTGTATAAATACGTATGTATAGACATAATAATTTCACTGATTGACGCAACAGCTCTGAGCAGTGCACTCTTGGGAACCATCGGACAAGCTGGCCTCAAGCTGGTGTAAGAAGCCTTACCACGAGGGTTACCATAAGGCTTACGATGTGGGTGGGTCACTAAAGGGTTACTATCAGGCTGACTGTAAGGTTTACTGTAAGGGCTACTATCTACTCTAAGGTTTACTATAACCCTTACTGTAAGGGTGCCGTTCACTCTATTTCACACTAAACTCCAGAAAGCTGGAACAGGATTCAGGATGGATAGTGCCAGGATTCCACATATTTTACCTCAAGGGCATCAGGATCACGATGTTCCAGCTTTCCGGCTACTATCTTAGGGTTCACTGAGACGAAAGAAAAGAGCTTCTTGCAGATCGGAGATGCGTAGCACTGAGGTGTTTCCGAGGCCACCTTGGCATGGCAGAAGAACTTAGGGTTTGCAAGGTTCTTCGGGCTTACCGCTAAAGGTCTATGCCCAGCGGTTTAGGGTTTAGGGGTTTCAGGGGTGAGAGCTTAGGGTTCAGGGCTCCGGGTTTAGGGCTTGAGGTGTTTCGGGGCTTAGGGCCCAAGGATTTACGGTGTTTTGGGGTTTAGGGCTCGGGAACTTGGGAGCCTCCACACAGAAGGCTGTCCAGCTCCTCCTTGCCCTGCGGCTCCTGCTCTTCGGCCTCACCTGACTCGAGCTCTCATGGAGCCAAACATACACCGTAATTCGCAGCTTACGGTTTAGGGCTTAGGGTTTAGGGTTTAGGGTTTAGGGTTTAGGGTTTAGAGTTTAGGGTTTAGGGTTTAGGGGTTCACACGCTTGTAGCAAGAGCCGTTGCCCAGGCCTGGCGTCCGTGAGCAGGCCACTCTCAGCAGCTGGCCAAGCCGATCGGCTCGAGCCTGGCGCTGCCCCGAGAGATACACGTGTGCTTAACGAGGACAAGTATGTGTACATATTCATATACACACACATGATTATGTTTGAAACATTTTTGCATACATACATACATACATACATACATACATACATACATACACAGATACATAAATACACATACAGACAGACAGGGAGACAAACAAGAATATCTACATACACGCGTGTACATTGTGCAGACGTATGACGAGTATCCTATCTGTCTTAATCGTTTATCTATGTGGGCGGCTATCTACCTGTCTATCTATCTGTCTGTCTATTTATGTATCTATAGACAGATAGATATGCGCATGTGTGCAAGTGCCTCGATGTATAGGCTTTTGCACTATGCTATGTGCAGTTATGAAGAGGTTTCGTCTTCTTCTGCTAAGCTGACAGTTCTCACACAAACTTCGGTCCAAGAGAAACTGTGGCTTCAGTAATTGCTAAATACGAATGTCATGGTGATTAGCTCGTTTACCTGCGCGCTGCTCTTGGCAAGGGTGTCGTTCTTGACGTTCTGTCTGCAAATTTACGTATATATACCTTATATATATATATATATATGGTGCCCCCCCCCCCCGCCGAAGCCCACGCCTTGGCCAGTCAAGAGTTCTTTTACATCCCTCTTGGCTGCCAGGTAGTGGGTCATGGGCGGGGGTTGGG